ACCTGTGCCTTACTGCATTTTCCATGCTGGACAGTGTGAGTCAGAGTGCCGTGCTGAACCTGTGCCTTACTGCATTTTCCATGCTGGACAGTGTGAGTCAGAGTGCCGTGCTGAACCTGTGCCTTACTGCATTTTCCATGCTGGACAGTGTGAGTCAGAGTGCCGTGCTGAACCTGTGCCTTACTGCATCTTCCATTCAGAGATTATCTAAGCAGCATTCAGGAGCAGTATGCTTTAAACACTACAGAGCAGCTACTCCTACCTGCGAAGCATCATTAGCCAGGCAGTTGCTCACCTGTACAGGTGCTGCATTAGCGCCCCCAGGGTGGTCCTGTTGATCTTGGGCAGGCTCTGGATCAGGGTGCAGTACTTCCGCACTCTCGCCTTCTCAGCCTCTTCATCTGTTTAAGTGCGGAAGCAGTAGGTTAGGAAAACACCACGCCGGCATCCCCAAGTACGGAGCTGAGAACGTACCAGCGATGCTTAGCCATGGGGGGCACACACCTAAAATGGAGACCCAGAAGGGGTAGAGCTCCTTGGTGAGCAGCGCGTCTTCCAGGCCACGCAGGAAGCTCTTCAGCACATCAGTGACATCCTCAAGCTGTTGCTCGCCAACCCGCAGCTTGACACTCCTGGCATCCTTCTGGAAGCTCTCCAGAAGCTGAGCCATCCGCTGCGGATTGCCATTCCTCTGGTAGATACCCTCATAGGCCAGACCTTTGTGGGGGGGGGGGGGGGGGGGGGGGGGTGCACATGGACCACTGTTTGCTATCGATGCATCTGCTTAGCTATGAAGTGAACTGGAACCGATAATGGTTATGATAAGCTAAATAAAACTACTACTACTAATAATTTTAATTACAATAATAATAATTATAACTCGTTATCTGCTGGTAGTTAAAGTATTGAATTAGGACAGATCTAATGGTGCTTGTCTATATCTGCGCTAAATACAAAAAAGACGAAAAATAAAGTGGAAATAAACATGGGAATGCAAGTGGGTAAAAATACCATGGCCACTGACCGTAACCATACTGAAATGCACTATGCCATGTGTGCTGTCTGTTTATTCTGGGGGCGCTTGGAGGTCTGCGGGTCAAGATTCGGTGCCGTCACAGCCGAGAATCAATTCCCGCCCAGGGAGCTCCGAGCATCAGCTCTTTTGGGCCGGTGTAACTCTGTAGGTCAGGAATCTGTATGAACCCCAAAACTGCCCCCCGGGTGTCGGGCAAATGGCTGACACTTTGTTCTCCCCTGTGCCTCACAGGAGAGCAAGATGGGGTACGCAAAAACGAAAGGATTCCACAGCAGCCGCACCTGTGCTTTTACATTATTTAATAAAGTATCATAATTATTATTTGTATACTGTTATTGCATTCTTGGGCTGGGTGTTGGGAGTATGACTGAGTGTGGAGAGTATGATTCTGGGTGTGGGGAGTATTGGCTCTGAGTGTTGGGAGTATGACTCTGGGTGTGGGGAGTGCTGGCTTTGGGTATGTGGAGTGTTGGCTCTGGGTGTGTGGAGTGTTGGCTTTGGGTGTTTGGAGTGTTGGCTCTGGGTGTGTGGAGTGCTGGCTCTGGGTGTGGGGAGTGTTAGCTTTGGGTGTGTGGAGTGTTGGCTTTGGGTGTGTGGAGTGTTGGCTCTGGGTGTGGGGAGTGTTAGCTTTGGGTGTGTGGAGTGTTGGCTTTGGGTGTGTGGAGTGTTGGCTCTGGGTGTGGGGAGTGTTAGCTTTGGGTGTGTGGAATGCTGGCTTTGGGTGTGTGGAGCATTGAATCTGAGTGTTGGAAGTGTGACTCTGGGTGTGGGGAGTATGACTCTGGGTGTGGGGAGTATGACTCTGGGTGTGGGGAGTATGACTTTGGGTGTGGGGAGTATTGTCTTTGGGTGTGGAGAATGTTGGCTCTGGGTGTTGGGATTTGCAGCGCTACACTCTTCCTGGGACACTCCCAACACCCAGTCAGCACCCATTTTAGTTTTTCTTCTTTTTTCCACACTGATACCATTAAGCATGTCTTTTGTCTTCTTAAATCCTCCCCACTGCTTTTGTGATTCAGCCTCCACCTCTGTCCCCAAATTGTCCCTGTTTCTTCCCCCTGTCCGTGTGTCAGGCCAGGCAGCAGGGCAAACATAACTATATTACAACTACATGCCATCTGAATGACAACAATGTATTCCCAGCTGCTTCAATTTTGACATAATTAGTCTTGAAGTTTGATGAAGCCCAGATCTTCACCCTTCCACCTCAGATCTTCATAGACCAAGTGTCTTCTGTAGCCACCTTTTCCTGCCACCAAGCATTGCTGCTTCAATTTTGGGGCAATCTGTCTCAAAATTAAATCAGATACAGCTCCATATTATGTGTTTGTGAAGCAGTAATAAGATTTATCAAGTATTTTATGACATCACATTCACAAGGTCAAATGTCATTTGCAGTCACTCATCTCATTGCTGTCACTAAGCAGTCTTGCTTTAATTTTGGGCCAATTTGCCACAAAATTTGAAAAATTCCTGATTTTCACCCATCCAATGTGTCTGCAAAGTTTGAAAATGAACTGTCAAATACTTTTTGAGTTATTGTGTTAATGTCTGCAGTGGTGGCCCATATGTTTTCCCTGTCTGGGTAATACAATAAAAAATGTGTTTATACACGGTGGTTTATTGGAAGCCACCGATTTCCATCCTGGGCACTGTGTGCAAACGTTGCATCATGCTCTCCCCGTATCATGTGACTTTCCTCTGGGTGCCCCGTTTTTCTCTCGCAGTCCAAATTGCTGAAGTAGTGTCTCTAAAATATTGCCCTTAGTGTATGACTGTGTGTGTGTGTGTGTGTGTGTGTGTGTGTGTGTGTGTGTGTGTGTGTGTGTGCGCGCTTGTGTCCTATGATGGGCTGGAATCCCAACCAGGTTGCTTCCCTGCCTCATTCCCTGTGCTCCCTGGGACAGGTTCAAGGATCACCACAACCTTGCACCAGATAAGCCGTTATGGAGGGTGGATGGAGGATGGATGGATGGATGGATGGATGGATAAGATGACATTTCCTAACAGTGCCAAAGCAGACGTTTGTATTCCTAAGCGCAGAAAGCACGGAGCGATTGACGGCCACCCTGCCAGCTCGTGCAGCAGGGCCTACATCGAAATCACTGCTCACCATACTGCGTGACAAAGGCCACGCAGCTCTCCACCACGATGGGCACGTCATGTTTACTCAGCTGCTGGCTGCTGAGGGCACGCCCATCCGTGCCCGCTGCCCGGAAGATGGCCCCACGCCACAGGCTGAAGTCCGCCCTGGAGAAGCCGTGCACATAGACGGTCCTATGGGACAGCAAAGCGTGGATCAAGCTCACGGCCACGTCACAGGTTCTTGAAGGCTTTCAAAGAGCTCCTCGGGCCTGACAGCGACTCTCCTTGATGTTGTGCAAGACGGCTGACAGATCTACACTTATATATTTTACTGTACCACACTCAACACCATCCATGCTGGAATCTAACCCGGCCTATATGCAGGGTATGAATCTTTATCCACATACCTCCCGCTCTCCACCATTAGCAGTACATCCATCTTGTCCTGTCCTACTGTGCGAGTAGATACAGCTGTGAAAAGAAAAGAAAAATGTGCCCATGCACAAATGCAGTCCAAGAGCGGTCATGCAAATACACATGGTCCAAAGGCAATCAGGCAAACACACAGGGTTCAAAGGCGGTCAGGCAATCACACACCGTCCAAAAGCGGTCAGGCAAACATACACGGTCCAAAAGCAGTCATGCAAATACACACGGTCCAAAGAAGGTCATGCAAACACACACAGTCCAAAACAGATCAGGCAAACACAAACGGTCCAAAACAGGTCGGGCAAACACACACGGTCCAAAGGCGGCCATGCAAACACACACAGTCCAAAACAGGTCAGACAAACGCACAGGGTCTAAAGGTGGTCGTGCAAACACACATGGTCCAAAAGCGGTCAGGCAAACATACAGGGTCCAAAACAGGTCAGGCAAACACACACAGTCCAAGACAGGTCATGAAAACACACACGGTCCAAAGGCGGTCATGCAAACACACACGGTCTAAAACAGG